CGCTCGCGCGGCGATCGGGGACCGGGGTCCGGGGTCCGGGGCGGGAGGCGCGCGAAGGCTGCGGGGTGGGGATTTGGGGGAGCCCGGACTCCCGGAAGCCGGATGTCCCCAGGGCACCGGGAACGGGGAACCCAGGGGCGGGATGACCGGGGGCTGCCCCGGGGCGCAGGGAGGTTGTTGGCTAGGAGGCTGGAACCCCGGGGCGCAGGGAGGTTGTTGGCTAGGAGGCTGGAGCCCCCGGGCTCAGGGCCTGGATGTCTCTGAAGCCTGGACGCGGGCATCCGGGAGACGCCTTCTCTAGGGGCGCACAGGTCTTTTCCGGACCCCAGTCCGTAAGACGTGTTGCAGAGACCCCCTGTCTCTCCTCCTCCTTGGACGGACCCTCCTTCTCCCCCCGCAGCCCCGAGTTCTTGCCATCACCTGTGGTTGGGAGCGCAGCCATTAGCTGGGGGTGCCCCCAAGACCTCTTTCCTGGCAGCATTCTCTCCTTTCTTCCGAGGACCCTCAAAGCGAAGCATGGCTCTTCCCGCCACCCCTTCCAGCTCCCCGGTTCCCAGGCAGCCGCTATTATTCACGTCCCATCCTTGATGGGCCTCCCAAATTCTTTCTTCTTAATGTCAGCTCTGTTCAGATTCCGGGAACAAATGAAATAAGGGGAGCAGAGAAGGCGGGGCAGATTTCCAGGGATCTTTAGAGAAAGATCCCCTCCCTCCTAGAGCCAGCAAAGAGAACTCAGCTCAGGTCTGGGGCCTGGTGAGGGGGGACCCATGGAAGCATGGAGGGCCAGGGTTAAAGACCCTACTGCCTCCCTCCTTCCAAACCCAACTTGGAACTCTGGGCCCAAAGGCGCGCCCTCCCCATCCTCCTAACCTTCCTGGGCCTAATGAAAGGTGCAGACATAAACCCAGGCCTGTGGTGCCCTCTGCTGTAATGTTTGGGAACTGCACCCATGGGTCTTTGGTGTCCTAGGCTTGGCCTTTTTAGGGCCTCTGAGTCTCGCCTGGCCCTCGGGGATTCAAGCTATATCCCCTGCCTGTCCTCCAGCACCAAACACTCTGGTCACACGCAGACCAAGTGCCATCTACCTTAGATTTCTGGTAAGGCTGTTATGCCTCCATGCACCTGGGAACAAGTCCCCAAAACACTACACAAGCCCTGGGTACAGAGGGGTAGCCAGTCTATGCTGGCCTAAGGGGCACCGTAATGTGTAAGAAAGGTATCCTAGTGGGGAGTGATCCAATTAGCTCTGAGCTTGGGTATTACAACTGGACAGTCCACAGGTAGCCATGGTTCTTGACCTTTGAGGGGACTTCAGGCAGGGGGGGAGGGGATGAGGTCAGGAATGAGATGGAGGTGGGTACCCAAGGGGCAAGGGAGTTCATAAAGGAAGCCCAGGGTTTGCCTAGATGGATGGCGAAGTCTGCAGAGAGGAGGGGCAATAGAACTGGGTTTTGCAGGATGTCTAGTGACAGAAGGGTATTCTGGCTGGGAGAACAACCCCCCCCAAAAAAATCTCCAAAGTGGGGCACTGTCACAGTGGGCAGAGCCAAAACTTGAGGCTATGAGTGTCAAGCTAAGGAGGTTGAACTTTGTGCTAGTAACAAGGAGGGTTGAGAGCAAGGTTGGACTGGGAGAAGGCAGGGCTTTTGAGATGACATCTATTTATTGGACATCTATGATGGGGTAGAATGGGGATCATGGGACGTGGAGACCACCCACCCTAATTTATAGCCACCCCTTCCCAGACCCCGTTTCACCTGCAACTGGACTGGGCCAGCCCCCTGGAGACGCTGCTGGATGTGCTGGTGTCCTTGCTGCACGCGCATGCCTGGGAGAATATCGGCCTCGTCCACTGCCGTGTCCGGGACCCCAGTAGTCTGGTGGCCCTGTGGACAAGTCGGGCAGGCCAGGCCCCAAAGCTTGTGCTGGACTTGAGCAGGCCAGACACTGAAGACACAGCACTGCACACTCGCCTGGCCCCGCTGGGGACACTGGCAGGAGAGGAAGCCCCAGTCTCCGCAGCTGTCCTCCTCGGCTGTGACACTGCCCGTATCGGCCGGGTGCTTGAGGCCGCACCACCCGGGCCCCGCTGGTTGCTGGGTACCCCGCTGCCTGCTGAGGCGCTGCCCACCACTGGTTTACCTCCTGGTGTGCTGGCATTGGGGGAGGTGACCCGACCCCCACTGGAAGATGCCATTCATGATGCCCTGGAGCTCATGACCCAGGCACTGAGCAGTGCAGCCCACGTGCAGCCCGAGCGAGCCCTGCTCCCGACCACAGTGAACTGTGAGGAGCTGCCACGGGCGGGACCAGAGTCTGCAGGGAGCTTCTTGGCACGGTGAGTGGGGAGCTTAGGGGAGGGGATCCGGGCCCTCAAGTACCCATCTGCCAAGTGTGGTGGCCCTGCCATGATCTCAGTAGATAGAAAGCCTAGGCAGAAGGCAGATGGCTAATCAATGTGGCCTTGTCTCAAAAATCCAGCAAGTTGCCAGGCGCTGGTGGCTCACGCCTGTAATCTTAGCTACTCAGGAGGCTGAGATCTGAGCATCACAGTTCTGAGTCAGCCAGAGTGGGAAAGTCCATGAGACTCTTATCTCCAATGAACCCCCAGAAAACCAGAAGTGGCACTGTGGCTCAAGTGGTAGAGCACTAGCCTTGAGCTGAAGAGCTCAGGGACAGCGCCCAGGCCCAGAGTTCAAGCCCCACAACTGACCAAAAAAATAAAAAAACTCCAACAAGCTGGGAGCTGGTGGATCACTCACACCTGTAATCCTAGCTACTCAGGAGGAGTATTGCTGTTCAAAGCCAGCCCAGGCAGGAAAGTCTATAAAATTCTTTTTTTTTTTTTTGTCGGTCATGGGGCCTGAGCACTGTCCCTCAGCTCTTCAGCTCAAGGCTAGCGCCCTACTACTTGAGCCACAGCGCCACTTCCAGCTTTTTCTGCTTATGTGGTGCTGAGGAATCTAACCTAGGGCCTCATGCATGCAAGGCAAGCACTCTACCACTGAGCCACCTTCCCAGCCCCGTCCATAAGATTCTATTTTTTTTTTTTTTGGTCCGGTCGTGGGGCCTGAACTCTGGGCCTGGGCGCTGTCCCTCAGCTCTTCAGCTCAAGGCTAGCACTCTACCACTTGAGCCACAGAGCCACTTCCGGCTTTTTTCTTTTTGCTTATGTGGGGTTGAGGAATCGAACCCAGGGCCTCGAGCATGCAAGGCAAGCGCTCTACCACCGAGCTACCTTCCCAGCCCCCCCCCATAAGATTCTTATCTCCAATTAACTATCTCCAAACGGAAGTGGCACTGTGGCTCAAAGTAGTAGAACACTAGCCTTGAGCACAAAAGCTCAAGGACAGTACTCAGGCCCTGAGTTCAAGCCCTAGGACTTAAAAAAAAAAATCTAACAGACAGCACCAGTGACTCATGCCAGACATTTTCCTCAGTCTACTTCCTCATCAGAGTTACCTTCTCACGAAGCTATGTTGGCCCCTTTGTATTTTTTTTTTCCAGTCCTAGGGCTTGAACTCCTCAGGGCCTGAAAACTGTCCCTGTGCTTCTTTTGCTCAAGGCTAGCACTCTACCACATGAGCAACAGCACCACTTTTGGCCTTTTCTGTATATGTGGTACTGAGGAATGGAACCCAAGGCTTCATGCATGCTACACAAGCACTCTACCTCTAAGCCACCTTCCCAGCCCGGCCCCTTTGTATTAAAATGGCAGCTCCACTGGATACTGGATGGTTCACACCTGTGATCCTAACTACTCAGGAGGTTGAGATCTGAGGATCCCAGTTCAAAGCCAGCCTGGGCAGGAAAGTCTGTGAGACTCAGCTCCAAAGCCAGAAGTGGCACTGTGGCTCAAGTGGTAGAGTGCTAGCCTTGAGCAAAAAAGTTTAGGAACAGCACTCAGGCCGTAAGTTCAAGCCCCAATGCACACACATGCATGCAAACACACACACACACACACACACACAATTTGCTGTATAGCTGTCTCCATCCTTGAAAATGAAGCGGCATTTTGGGGCAAACAATCCCCCAGTAATAATCAGCTCTAGGTCTTTGGCACCTGGGTGGTTAAGTTGGCTGCAGGCCAGGTATTCAGGGGGACAGGTGCGTCCGCTAGGAAGGAATCAGATCAGGTTGGGAAAAGTGGACCCCACTGTTTAGGCCAGGAACCCCAGTGGGGCCTACGTGTGTGCTCCAGCCTCTCTTCACACCCCCCACCCCCAGGTTCTTGGCCAACACCTCCTTCCAGGGCCGTACGGGGCCTGTGTGGGTGACAAGTTCATCCCAGGTGCATATAACCCGAAGCTTCAAGGTGTGGAGCCTGCGCAGAGACCCGTGGGGTGACCCAGCCTGGGCTACGGTGGGCAGCTGGCGGGACGGGCAGCTGGTCTTGGAACCAGGCACTGCCGGTGTCCGCCCCCCATCCCCACCCGGGGCCCAGACTCGGCCAAAGCTTCGTGTGGTGACACTAGTGGAACATCCCTTTGTGTTCGTGCGTGAGCCGGATGAGGACGGGCAGTGCCCAGCGGGACAGCTGTGCCTGGACCCTAGCACCAATGACTCAGCCACACTAGACGCACTGTTTGCTGCACTGGCCAATGGCTCTGTGCCCTGGGCCCTGCGTAAATGTTGCTATGGTTACTGCATTGACCTGCTGGAGCGGCTGGCCGAGGACACGCCCTTTGACTTTGAGCTGTACATTGTGGGCGATGGCAAGTACGGGGCCCTGCGTGATGGCCGCTGGACCGGCCTGGTGGGTGATCTGCTGGCTGGCAGGGCCCACATGGCGGTCACTAGCTTCAGCATCAACTCAGCCCGTTCTCAGGTGGTGGACTTCACCAGCCCCTTCTTCTCTACCAGTCTGGGCATCATGGTGCGCACGCGCGACACCGCCTCACCCATCGGGGCCTTCATGTGGCCTCTGCACTGGTCTATGTGGGTGGGTGTCTTCGCCGCCCTGCACCTGACCGCGCTTTTCCTCACCCTGTACGAGTGGCGCAGTCCCTACGGCCTCACGCCACGTGGCCGTAACCGGGACACTGTGTTTTCTTACTCCTCGGCTCTCAACCTCTGCTACGCCATCCTTTTTGGGCGTACAGTCTCCAGCAAGACGCCCAAATGTCCTACTGGGCGCTTCCTCATGAACCTCTGGGCCATCTTCTGCCTGCTGGTCCTGTCGAGCTACACGGCCAATCTGGCGGCTGTCATGGTGGGGGACAAGACCTTTGAGGAGCTGTCAGGAATCCATGACCCCAAGGTAGGTGGTCAGCATGGGATGGAGGATACCCAGAGTTGAGCTGTACCAAAGTGTGGTCAGGGAATGGCAAACACAGGGCATGGCCATCCAACAACAGCAGCAGCAGCCAGAAAGGGAAGTATGGCCCAAGTGGTAGAGTGCCATCTTTGAGTGAAAAAGTCAAGCTAGAGAGTGAGGCCTCAAGTAAAAGCCCCAAAACTAGTAGAAAGAACATAAAAGAAAGAAAGGCCAGGTGCTGGTGGCTCACGCCTGTAATCCTAGCTACTCAGGAGGCTGAGATCTGAGGCTCAAGGTTCAAGACCAGCTCAGGCAGGAAAGTCCATGAGACTCTGATCTCCAATTAACCACCAGAAAACTGGAAGTGGTGCTGTGGCTCAAGTAGTAGAGCGCTCGCCTTGCGCAGAATTGCTCAAGGGACAGCACCCAGACCCCGATCAAGCCCTATACCAACAAAAAAAAAAAAAAAAAAGGGAGGAAGGAAGGAAGGAAGAGCCGGGCACCAGTGGCTCACACCTGTAATCCTAGCTACTCAAGAGGCTGAGATCTGAGGATCACAGTTCAAAGCCAGCCCTGGCAGGAAAGTCTGTGAGACTCTTATCTCCAATAAACCACTCAAAAACTGGAAGTGGCGCTATGGCTGAAGCGGTAGAGCACTCTCCTTGAGCTGAAGAGCGCAGGGACAGCGCCCAAGCCCAGAGTTCAAGCCCCACGACCGATCAAAAAAAAAAAAAAGAAGGAAGGAAAGAAGGAAGATTGGAAGCCTGGCACTGATGGTTCACACCTGTAATCCTAGCTACTCAGAGGCTGAGATCTGAAGATCAAGGGTTGAAGCCAGCCCTGGCTCTGATTAACCACATATAAAAATGCTGAAAGTGGAGCCCTGGCTCAATGGGTACAACTCTAGCCTTGAGTAAAAGCGCTTAGGGACAGCACTCAGGCCCAGAGTTCAAGCCCAGTACTAGGGCTTGAAAAGAAAAAAAGCAGGATTGGGGAAGAGTGGGCTGGTCCAGGGTTAGATCCTGGGTGCATAATGGGAGGATCGGGGGTGGGGTGGGTGGGAGAAGGATGGGAGGGGGGAGGGGGAGGATGGAGGGAGGGTGATTGGATGGATGCTGAAGAGCATGGTGGGGCCTGGCCCTGGTGAGTTTGGGCAGGTCTACAGTAGGTGGTTTGTTCCTGGTATACAAGGTGGACTGGCTGTGGGGGTGGGGTGGGGTAGAATGGGAATCTGAGGGGCAGGTGAATGTGAAGGGGACAGAAGAGAGTGGTTTGGGGTTCCCTTAGGACCCCAAGAGAAGCCACTGAGGAGGCAAGTTGAAGGTGACATTTCCTCCCCATGTAGATGGATGCTCAGGCTTTATAAACCGAAGGTCTCAACCAAGTGACCTTGCCCCCTGGGCAGGGCCAGGATCTTGATGGGTATCATGGCTGGGGAGGGGTTCCCAGGATGGTGGGCACTGCTGATCTCTGCCCACTTCCCACAGCTGCACCACCCGTCCCAGGGCTTCCGCTTCGGGACAGTGTGGGAGAGCAGTGCAGAGGCCTACATCAAGGCGAGCTTCCCGGAGATGTACGCACACATGCGGCGCCACAGTGCACCCACCACGCCCGATGGCGTGGCCATGCTCACGTGAGACCCGGCCCGGGGGCAGGGTGTGTGTGGGAGGTCGCGCTGCCGATCCTACCCCACTGACCCTGCCTCCCCCCAGGAGCGACCCCCCCAAACTCAACGCCTTCATCATGGACAAGTCACTGCTGGACTACGAGGTGTCCATCGACGCGGACTGTAAATTGCTGACAGTGGGCAAGCCTTTCGCCATTGAGGGTGAGGGGGGCCGAATGGTGGGGAGCCAGGGGGCTCGTGGGGGCAGGGCTGAGGTGCCCCATGTGGGGGTACAGCTCTCCTGGGGTTGTGTTCCACCTGCCTGGGTTCCCCAGGCTACGGCATTGGACTGCCCCAGAACTCACCACTTACTTCCAACCTGTCTGAGTTCATCAGCCGCTACAAATCTTCTGGCTTCATCGACCTGCTCCATGACAAGTGGTACAAGATGGTGCCTTGTGGAAAGCGGGCCTTCGCCGTGACGGAGGTGAGGAAGGGCTTCAGACACAGAGGTGGAGGGTAGGCCTAGGGGCCCCGGAGGCTGCCTGAGGTGCCAGACCCCCTGATCATTCTTGTGCACTTGTTTTTGTCCTACAAAACCCCAGCTCCCACGTCCCCATCTCATCCTGGCTCCACAGGCCCCAGCCCTCCTCTGGTCCGGACCCCACCCTCTCCATGCAGGGGTCTTTGTCATGTGATCATGTGGGATCCCTGCTTGTGTTCCATCCCAGACCCTCCAAATGGGCATCTACCACTTCTCGGGGCTCTTCGTGCTGCTCTGCCTGGGCCTGGGCAGTGCCCTGCTTAGCTCTTTGGGTGAGCATGTCTTCTACCGCCTGGCACTGCCCCGCATCCGCCGTGGCAACAGGCTGCAGTACTGGCTACACACCAGCCAGGTGAGGTGGGCTGTGGGCTGCACAGGGGCAGGGCGGGCTGCAGGCCTGCCAGAGCGGTGGGCCCCTAGCCCAGCACACCACCAATGGGGACTGTGTGGGTCTCAGAAAATCCACCGGGCGCTCAACACCGGGCCACCAGAGGGGCCACAGGAAAGGCTGGAGCCAGAGCCCAGGTAAGGACGGGCCACCTGTGGGAGGGACCAACAGCCCTTGGTGGGGTCCCGGCTCCGGGCCTCCCTGCAGGCCACTGTGGCCAAGGTGGACGTGGCCGGTGGGGTGTTGCTTAGCCCCGTTCCTGTCCCTAGTGGAGCCGAGGAGCCGCGGCTGGACCCCGAAGGCCCCGGGCGCTGGAAACGTGTGCGCAGGGCTGTGGGCAAAGAGCGCCGAGTGCGCTTCCTGCTGGAGCCAGGGGCGGCTGCGGCCCCGGACTCGGAGGCGGGTGAAGCTGACGCCAGGGACAGGGAGGCCTGTGTGGAGCCCCTGCCACCAGGGGGCCCCGTGTGGCTGTGCTCCAACGGGAGGCCGGCGGCCCCGCGCACGGCTGAGCTGGAGGCGCTGGCGCGGCACATCGAGGATGTGAAGGAGCGACTCCGCCAAGCCCTGCTGAGGCGCGGGGAGCTGCGGGCCCAGCTCGGGAGCGGCGTGCGCCACCGGCCCCTGCGCTTGCTGCAGGCAGCAGGCAGCCCAGATGACGACGAGGACCAGCAGTGAGGAGCAGTGAGGAGCCACATCTGCCACCCACCTGCCAGCCGTCCAGGCAGGGTGGGCTGGGAGGGCCGGGTCCCCCGAACATGCAGACCGCACCCTGTCCACAGACAGTTTATTCTATATACAAACAACTTCGTACACCGCAATTAAATAGAATGGAATGAGCAGCCTGACCCGGCCACTCCCATGCGAGCAGGGCTGGACCCTGGCCACTGCTCTTGGCACCTGTGTCCCTGCGCCTGAGCCGCAGCTCTTCTCTCTTGGGGACCCCAGGCTGGTCGCTCTCGTGGACAGGGGTGGCCGTGGAGAAGGCACTGCGCAGGGAGCACCAGGCAGGGCTGGACAGCACAAAGGTGTGCGAGGCCCCGTCCCGCCCTGCCTGCTCCTCCGCGTGGTAGCCTTGCCCACCCTTGACCTACTGCTGCCCTGGACTGCACATGGGCCAGTACACTCAGATCTTCCAGAACCTTCCAAGTCTCCACTCCATCCCCTTCACAGACCACCACAAACCCAGCTGACTAGCAGGTCAAGCCTTGGTGGGCTCCACATCTGATCTGGCAAGACAGGCCCCACCTCTCACAAACTGGATGAACCCCCCACCATCCTGAGCAGACAGGTGGTCCGGAAGAAGGAGGTAGAGGACACTGGTGCCCCCCAGGGATGGCTTCCTCCGCCCCACCAGCTGCAGAAGCAGGGACAGGTGGCTCAGGGGCTTCTCAGGACCCGACCTGGGAAGGTGCATCTGTTGAGCCTGGGGTGGCAGGGCTGGGTCCACTCCCCGAAGCCTCCGTTGGGGCTGCATCAGATGCCAATGAGTCACTCTGAGGAGCACTGTCCTGGGAGGTGTGGGGTGGGCTCCCGCTGGGGCTCAGGGATCTCGCAGGCCGTCGCTCCAATAGTGAGGCACTCAGGCCAGACAGGAATGAGGCATCAGAGATGATGGCAGCTGTCTCGGCCATCCAGCCCAGGTCACTTCCAGTGGCTGCTGCCACAGATGCTGCCACAGCCCCCAGGGAGCTGGGTGCTGCAGCTCCAGGCCCAGGCCCTCCGCCGACTCCAGTGGAGCCCGGGCCCAGGGCGAGTGGCTGGCCTGCAGGGTCAGGGGTGGTGGCTTGGGTGCCAGAGTTGTTGTTCAGGTCGTCGGGCAGCGCTGTGGGCGTCCCAGGACCCAGCTGTGGGCTCTGTAGCAGCATCTCCTGGATGCGGATCTGCTGCAGGATGGCTGGCAGCTCGTAGTGGTGGAAGAAGTAGATCATGGAATGCTGTGGGTGGAAGAGGCGGGTCAGAGCCCAGGAAGGCCCCAGACCAGGAGAGGGGGACACCATACCAGAAATGAGGGGAGGTCCCACCCGCTGTCCACGCTGCCCTGCGGGGTGGGGCTGGCTTACAGGAGGCAGTGCCCCCAGCAGCAGCAGTGTGCCAGGGGGGCAGCAAGGCCCAGAGCAAGGACCCACACTGCCTGGGGACCTCACCAGCCTGTCTCCCCTGTGTACCACCAGACCCTCCTACCCACCCAGGCCTCACCTGGATGAACAGCCAGGATGTGACCAGGGCCAGGCTACTGTACTGCCCATTGAAGCGGTAGTGGTAGGCGTAGAAAGCGAAGTGGTACAGGTAGAAGAACCTGTGCAGGGCAGGGCCATGAGCACTGGCAGACTCACCTGCCTGGACCCACACTGCCCCTCGTCCCCAGCCCTCCAGTAACCCTAACCGCCCAGCCCCGCCCAGCCCCGCCCAGCCCCGCCCCGCCCCGCCCCGCCCCGCCCAGCTCACCGCAACCAGTGCCGCTTGCTGATGTTGGTGTGGCAGCAGATGGCATCGTACTGGTCAGCCAGCCACACGATGAGGATGATGTAGAAGGCTGTGGTGGTGTCGTTGAAGAACTCAGACATGATGGCCTCCATCCCTGTGGGGACAGGCAGCACGGTTGGAGCAGGCGGGGTGGGGTGAGGGTGGGGGGTGCTGGGCAGAGTCCTCACCGACGAGGGCCAGGATGACAGTCAGCAGAGGTGCTGCGGGAAAGGCGATGGCCATGTTCATCTCCAGCATCTGCAGCAGGTCCACTGCGGGCACAGGGCGCGGGGGCCACTCGTGAGGGCCTGGGGGCGAGCCCGCCCCGCCCCCCGCGGCTGGCCGGGACTCACCGATGAAGACGAAGATCTGGTGGTGGGAGTAGCGGAGCAGCATGGACACGCTGAGTGTCTGCAAGGGAGGCGCAGGGGTGAGGGGCTGCGGGGAGTTGACATCCCAGAGCCCCGCCCCTACCGAGGCCCCACCCACAGCTCCTCCCCAGGACCCCACCGGCCCCTCACACTCACGAAGATGACCATGATCACGAAGGCGGCCAGGTAGGATGTGCGGGCCATCCACATGCTGACAAAGCGGTAGTGCTCACCAGACACCACGTTCCGCAGGAAGCCTGTGGGGAAGGCAGTGAGAACGGCCTAGACCCACACCTTCCCCTACCTGCCTGGGCCGGACCCACCTCCCCAGCCTGCACCCTACCCTTGTTCTCCTCATTCTCAGCCAGGCCCTTCACACTGGACATGAGGATGTCATCATAGCCCAGGAACTCATCCAGCAGCAGGCGGCTGAACCGGTCCCCAAAGCACTGGTCTCGAGTAGGATCTGTGGGAGGGCGCAGTCAGGGCTAGCAGAGCAGGGGAAAAGGTGCCCCGGAGAGGTGTCCTGTGGCTGGGTGGGGTCCTCGGGCCACGGTCCCACCCCATGGCAGCATGACACCCTGTGGCACGGGGTTGGACTCACCCAGCGTGACGACCATGACGGGGATACTGAGGCGCTGGCGCGTGGCCTGTGACAGCCGCAGAAAGCCATATTCCAGCGAGTACTCCACGATGTACTCATCCTGGGGCCACACTGTAGGGACAAGGCTGGTGAGCCCTGGCTCGTGGGCCCACCCTCACCCCGCCCCACCCCCTACCGGCCCACAGCTCTGAGTATACCTTTGGCAGGTGTCTCCGGGAAGGGAAATTCCTGGCTGTCATTCAAGGCCTCAGCTCCACCTGGTGGCTTGAACACCTTGGGCTCAATGTCCAGCTCAAACTGTGGGCAACCAGGGACCAAGGCATCAGTGTGGTCATCTGGGACCTGAGGACCAACTCTTCAGGTGCAGCCCCTGGGCTCCACCCCACCCTCCCCCCTAGACTGGGACCACTGTCCTATCACACACAAGGCTCAAACTTCCTGTACTTCTGTCAAGGCCCAGAACTCTACCCCAGTCCCAAGCCTCCCCCGTATGTGGTTCCAGGAAAGGGTTTGAACCCTGAAGCTGGGGACTCAAGCAGAGTTTGGGCAGAGGCCTCAGGTCCCAGGGCCAAGTGTCAGATGCTCCCGCTAACACCTCCCCCCGCCATAGCTGGAGCATCATGGATGGAGGCTGAGATGCCCCCACCCCCACCATAGGGATGACAGATGCTCATCCCTCTACCACGTGCCACCTCAGGTGGGTGCAGATTTCTTGGCTCAGCCCTTGTCTTCTCCCCTGCCACTTCTGCCGTCCACCACCCCAGAACCAGGCCCATCTCCACCCTCACTGAAGGCCATCAAGGCCAAGCAGACAGCGCGCTGCCAAGCCCTTTGAAGGGTGGCCCCTCTCCTGGCATGAGTCTCCTTCACTCAGTTTTACACCCGCTGCTCAGAGCTCACCTTAACAGAGCTGTTCCCAAACATCTCCATGGTCAGCTCCTCCTCCTCCTCCTCCAGCTCCAGGCCTCCTGGCTCCACAGCCAGGCCCGAGAAGCTCTGGCGGCCGCCATCACAGAACTGCAGGAAGACGGGTGCGCGGCTCGAGTTGTGCCGCACCTCCACGCGAAGGATGCCCTCCCGCGGCCACCTGTCACGCACATGCTCCAGGCAGTTGATGGGTGAGCGGGAGAAGACGATGTGGATGTAGGCCAGCACGAAGAGCACAAACAGGGCCTGAGGAGAACAGCAGTGAGTGGACCTGCTTGGCAGGTGACAGGAGGAGAAGGAAGTCCCCGGCAACTCAAGTCCTGATTGGGCCTACAGCCCATGAAAGGCTCAAGGGTCTTGGGTTTCTCTCTCTCTCTGTATCTATTTGGTGTGTGCAAGTACTGGAGCTCGAACTCAGGGTCTGGGTTGGCACTCTACTACTTAAGCCACACCTCCACTTCTGGCTTTTCCACTTCTGGTTAACTGGAGATAAGAATCTCACCAACTTTCCAGCCTGGGCTTGGCTTTGACTCTTGGTCCTCTGATCTCTGATTTGATCTCAGATCTTTTTTTTTTTTTGATCTCAGATCTTTTGAATAACTAGGATTATAAGAGTGAGCCCCCTGGTTAAAGGCCTTAGGCTCTGAATACTGGTGACTGGCCATGATTTCTCAGGTAGAAGACAGGCTCTCTGTCGGGTCTTGTGGGTGAGACTCCACCCAAGATGTGGGGCTGGGCTCAGGGCACCAGTTCTGTGTCCACCAGGCTGCCTGCGAGGCCTGCCACCCAGGTGAGGCCAGCTGGGCTCTGGACTACACATACACCACAGTTTGCCTCTGTTCTCAGAGCCCCTGATCTCACCAGCTAAGAATAGCCTTTCCTGGCTAGGCAGCCTCTGCACCCCTGCCAGGCCTGACACAGGCCAAGGACACAGCTGACCCTTGTGGGCAGGACCCAGGCATTCAGGACAGGCCCAAGAAGCTTCCTCATCTATAAAGTGGAACAGCAGCCACCTTCGCCCTCAGGAGCCCTGGTGGTGTTTGGGGACATGCAGGGCTGTCATGACTGCTCTGGCATGGAACAGGTGGAGGACCCTGGGGGAAGGGGGCTCCAGGGAGTTGTATGGTACTCTGCTAAGAGCTGGATGCTTTACCAGCACAGTCTCCCATGCCATATACATGCCTGCCAAATGCACTTCCAGAGTTCCCAGACTCCCCAGGGAAGAGGTGTCTGGACTCTAAAACTATAGCCAGAGAGGCCCACCCAGACCAGAGATGCTAGAACACAAAACCTTTCTGCTGACAGAGGCCCGGTATTCAGGGAAGAATGAGCTGCTGGTGGCCACAGAGTCATGAGCACAACTGCCAGAACTCTATCCCTTCCATGCCCACAGGCAGCCAGACCCCCCCCCCCCCATGGAGAATTCTGGCCAGACCCAATGGCTATAACCTCAAGTGAGCAAAGACTCAGCAAATGGCAGAAAGAGGCCATAGGTCTCAGCTCCTGCTGGCATCCTGGATCACAGCAGAAGCTGGCACAAGGCTCACAAGAGATTCAAAGCTTCTCCTCTGGGGCCAAGTAGAAGTAAAAGCTTCTGTCCCTCACAACCAAAAGCACTAAAAGCTAGGGGTCAGCACTGGACAACAGGCCTGCACCACACAACAGTGCTGACACAGCATGTCCCAAGCCAGGGGCTGCATGCTTCTCAGGGATACCCGGCCACCACTGCCCGAACTCACAGAGGAAGAAACTGGGGCAGAGGGGTTGCAGACCTGAGGTCACAAGGGCGGCAGACCAGGCCTCCAGCTGACCGTCACCATGAACAGACCAGTGGCCCTGGGCAGACCTGAATCCGAGGTGATGCTGAGGGACCCACGTCCTGCCCCACATGCCTCCCACAGGCCTGGACCTGACCCCACAGTGGGGTCGCCTCTGTGGATGTGTGGACTTGGTCACATAGCCTCTAGGCCCCTTAGAGCTGTGGCTCAGCTGTTACCCTGGTGTCCCCCTCCAGCTGCCTTAGCAATGGTCACACTCTCAAACCAGGTGCCCCATGCTGGTCAGGCCCAGAAGACACCCATATGGTTTCCTTCACTAACCTACTGGGTCTCTGCCCTACCCAACAAGACCAGCTCTTGTCTGGGCCTCAGTTTCCCCATTCCAGAGCAATGAGCGGGTAACACCCATCCAGACTCACCCCTGGGTCCTCCGGCCAAGGCTGCCCTCTGCCACTCCACATGCTTTGGTGACCCAGACCAAACCCTGTGTCCCACTGCTGGCCCCAAACTTCCAGCCAGCTTGCCCTGGGCCCGACCGCCAGGACCCTGGCTCTCCCACTTTGGTGGCCACTCCCTGCACTTCCCCACCCCATGCTCAGCCTCACTCCTGGCACCACCCTTCCCCAACGCACCCTCGGTGCTGCATCCCAGAGCACAGGGAGACAGGGACAAAGCACTAAGCAGACATGAGGCTGCAGAAGCTGCCTGCCCCTGCCACCGCCTCCAGGAAGCCCCCTGGCCTCACTCCCTGATCCCCAGGAACCAGGTCCAAGCCCACTGGCCTATCTCTGCGAGTCTCAAGAGACCACACTTTTCTCCTCCGAGAAGGTAGCCCCCCCACAGCCCCAGCTAGAGTCTGCAGGAAAAACCCAGGTCTTTTCTACTCAGCACCCCGCTGCTTCCCTCTCAAGGGCACAGCACAGAGACTCCCAGGAGTGGCCATAGTGACAGTCCCCTCCTCCCCCAAGAGAGAGTAGGGGCCTGGAGTCTGTCCTCTCCTCGGTCCTCGGTATCCCCAAGAGGGGCACACTGCTTGCTATCCCGATTCACCAGAGAGCAGGGCCCTGGCCACATCCAGCACTGGCTGCCAGAAGACAGCACTGCAGTTTTACCAGTCTCTGTCTTACTACGTCTCTGGGCCAGGATGCAGCCACCTTTCCCAGCAGCCCGAGGCTCAGAGTGTGTGGAAACAGAGTTTGGCTACTCAGGTCCACAGAGCATCAGCCAGGCGGCCTGGTGGGCAGGAAGCAGAGAAGAAAGAGAGCTTCCTGGAACCCAGCACAACCTCAGAAAGCAGTTGTTCCGGCCTGGGCTTCACAAATAAAGGAAATAAAAGGCACCAGCTGTGATGGCACACTTCCTGATGAACAAATCCTCAGTTCTACCAGCAACCCCACCACCCAGCATCTCTAAGCTAAGAGACTCAGGGAGGCTGAAAGCATCCCAAGGGCTCAACCTTCTTTGAGGCTCCTACTTGGCAGCACAGGGCGACCAATGCCAGTGGCCCAACACAAGCTGTACTGCTCTGAGTGGCACCTGCCTGGAAGACAAGAGCCAGGCCTGCAGGGATCCCCCAAAGGCCAGCCCCTTCTATATCAGGTGGCAGTGGGACCAGAGTGTGGTTCTCCACCACACCAAGCACACCTTCAGGGAGGTTTGGCATGGGCGTGCGCCTCAGTAACTGAGTGGTGCTCAAAGGCACCTGAGCCCCTTCAGAGACCCAGCCCACTCTGAGGAAAATCCACTCCACACACAAGCCTTTGTCCACAGGTTCAGAGCATCAGGGACCCTGACACAGGATTCCAGATTCAGTGTCACAGAACCACCCCCTCAGCCACCATCACCTCTCAACAGGGCAGGGAAGAACCAAGCTGTGCTAGGGGCTACAGAGAGGAAGAAGGCAGGCAGAACCTGCTGTTTTAGGGTGCAGCACCTGCCTGAAAGGCCAGCTCCTCACACCTGGGCACTGTGCTATCTGCACATGCAGGGGGACTTCCTTAGAAGTTCAGATTGAGGCCAGGACTGGCTCCCAGCTTTGTCCAAGGGCCAGGTTTCGGCTCCTTTACACCAAACCCCAAAGAGCAGCCAGCTTCCACCCAACTGCTCAGCCCACACCCTTACCTCCCCTGTCCATGGGCATTAACCCCTTTCTGCAGACAGGAAGAAAAAGCCAGGCACCAGAGGGGCTGATGGTTTGAAGCCAGCCTGGGCAGGAAGGTCCGAGAGACACTTAACTCCAATTAACCAGCAAAAAGCCAGCAGTGGCGGCCAGAAGTGATGGTACATCGGTGGCTCACACCTATAATCTTAGCTACTCAGGAGGCTGATATCTAAGGATTACAGTTCGATCCCAGCCTGGGCAGTAAAATCCATGAGCCTCTCACTTCCAATTAACCACCAAAAAAAAAGCTGAAGTGGTAGAGTGCGTGCCATGAGCAGAATAAAACTCAAGGACAGCACCCAAGCCCTGAGTTCAAGACTCAGTACTCTGGCACACGCACAAAAAGAAAACGAAAGAAAAGAAGAAGAACAAGAAAAAGGAGGAGCTTGCTCAGCGATATCAACACTGCCCCTGCCATTTCTCCATTTTCTGGGGGGAGTCAGAAACCCAGAACCCAGGTGACCTAGCTGTTTCCCGGGGCCAAACTCCTTCCTGGAGGCTGGCACTTGTCCTTCCTGAGGCCTCAAGAACTGGGCATGGACAGGACAGGCAGGCAGAGCCCCATAGGAGGTTTAATCAGACCCAGGCAAGGCTCAAAGCTCCCTGAGCAGCTGTGAAATTGCTGCTGCTCACCCTAGCAGGAAGCCCCTGTCCCAAGCAAGGCCCTGAGAGGCTCAGCACAGGAAGAGCTGGGGGCAGGTGGAAGGTTCCAGGAAGGGGAACACCAAAATAAGCCACTGTCAGGGCAAGAGCCAGGGCAAGAGGGCGGCTCCCAGGGCTGAAGGGAAAACCGGTATGACGATAGGCTGGGGACTAGGCCAGACTAGGGTGAGTGGGGGTTCAGGATCCCAGGCTGCAGAGTCAGGGGTCAAAGGGCAGGAGGAGGGCCCTGGGGAGGTAAGGGCCGCTAAAGGAGACGGGGGACCCGGGAAGGAGGAGGCCGGGACTAGGGTCGACGACGCGGTGACAGTCTGTCACTTGGCATTCTTCCTAGGCGGAGATGGGCAGGGTGGCACTCCAGCTCTAGGCGCTCGGGTTCAGAGGTGGCACGCTCGGGGTCAGAGGGTATGAGGCCTCTGGGATGGAGGCTCGGGGTTGGGGGGGGGTGTGATCGGGGTCCCGTCACCTTGAGCAGCACGAAGAACTCGAAGAGGCGGCGGAAGGCGGGAGGGAAGAGCCGCGAGTAGGTGACAGCCATCTTGAAGAAGAGTGCGTGGAACAGCCGGTCGCGCACGTTGATGAGGGGGTTGGGGTTCAGGTTGGGGGTGCGCG